CTACCTTTGGTCTTTGATGATGGTGACATACAGATGGGGTTTTAGTGTGGATGACCTTTCTGTTAGTTAGTTTTCCTTCTAACAGTCAGGACCCTCAGCTGCAGGTCTGTTGGAGTTTGCTGGAGGTTTACTCCAGACCCTGTTTGCCTGGGTATCAGCAGCGGAGGCTGCAGAACAGAGAATATTGCTGAACATCAAATGTTGCTGCCTGATCGTTTCTCTGGAAGCTTCATCTCAGTGGGGTACCCGGCCGTGTGAGATGTCAGTCTGCCCCTACTGGGTGGTGCCTCCCATTTAGGCTACTTGGTGGTCAGGGATCCACTTGAGAAGGCAGTCTTTCCGTTCTCAGATCTCAAACTCTGTGCTGGGAGAACCACTACTCTCTTCAAAGCTGTCAGACAGGGAAATTTAAGTCTGCAGAGGTTTCTGCTGCCTTTTGTTCAGCTATGCCTTGCCCCTAGATGTTGAATCTACAAAGACAAGCAGGCCTCCTTGAGCTGCGGTGGGCTCCACCCAGTTCAAGCTTCCTGGCCATTTTGTTTACCTACTAGAGCCTCAGCAATGGCGGGTGCCCCTCTCTCAGCCTCGCTGCCGCCTTGCAGTTGTATCTCAGACTGCGGTGCTAGCAATGAGCAAGACTCCGTGGGCATAGGACCCTCCGAGACAGGCACAGGATATAATCTCCTGGTATGTCGTTTGCTAAGACCATTGGAAAAGTGCAGTATTAGGATGGGAGTGACCCGATTTTCCAGGTGCCATCTGTCACAGCTTCCCTTGTCTAGGAAGGGGAATTCCCTGACCCCTTGTGCTTCCCGGGTGAGGTGATGCCTCACCCTGCTTCGACTCATGCTCATGGGCTGCACCCACTGTCCTGCCCCCACTGTCCCACAAGCCCCAGTGAGATGAACCCAGTACCTCAGTTGGAAATGCAGAAATCAGCCGTCTTCTGCATCACTCATGCTGGGAGATGTAGACTGGAGCTGTTCCTATTTGGCCATCTTGGAACCCTTGAAACATATCTTAAGAAGTGTATCATGGCTGGGCGTGGTGGCTCATGCCTGTAATCCCAGCACTTTGGGGCCGAGACGGGTGGATCACGAGGTCAGGAGATCAAGACCATCCTGGCTAACATGGTGAAACTCCGTCGCTACTAAAAATTCAAAAATTAGCCAGGCATGGTGGTGGGCACCTGTAGTCTCAGCTACTCAGGAGGCTGAAGCAGGAGAATGGCATGAACCTGGGAGGCGGAGCTTTCTGTGAGCCAAGATTGCACCACTGCACTCCAGCCTGGGAGACAGAGTGAGACTCCATCTCAAAAAAAGCATCATATCATAACAGAGGCAAGGTAGAACAGAAATATATCACACTAGAGCAAGAGAGGGACCATGAAAAAAGCAAATTCAAACCTAAGCCCCCTATTCACTAGCTAGAGAAACAGTGAGCTTACTCAAATTCTGTGAGTATCATCCTCCTCATCTTTAAAATATAAAGGGTAATATTTTGAAGGCTTGTAAAAATTCAACAAGAACACTTATCCAAAGAGCCTATCAATGCCTGTCATCCAATGGGTGTTCAATGGTCAGTTAATGTTTTCATAGTGATCAAAAATTATGAATATCAGTCAAAATAATGTAATTAACAAATAATATGTAAATAAGGCTGAAGAAATGTGTTAAATAAAATAAGTATAATTAATTCAGAGAAAGAAGGGGTCAGTACAAACTATAGCTTCCAGGATCATGAAGGAACCAGATGGCTATTAAAAGTGAGGATGAAAAGCATTGCCAGGAAGAAAGAACATTGTAAGTAAACGTGTGGAAGCCTGAGAAGCTTAGGACATTTGAAGTCACAGGCAGAATTCTCTGAAGTGAGGGCAAAGTTTAGAAAAAAAGGAAAACAGACTGCCTGCCCATGGTAAGGGCCTTGAATGCCAGGTGAAGAGATGGCCCCTGAGACTGATCAGTCATTGGTCTACCCTACAGGTTTAATTCTGTTAAAAGTAAGGGAAGTAATGGTTTATTTTTATGTGTATAAACAATCATAAAATTTTAAAAAGTAATGTCTAGTAAAATAATTCTTTTTTTTTTTTTTTTTTTTTGAGACCCAGTCTCGCTCTGTTGCCCAAGCTGGAGTGCAGTGGCGCCATCTTGGCTCACTGCAAGCTCCACCTCCCAGGTTCATGCCATTCTCCTGCCTCAGCCTCCGGAGTAGCTAGGACTACAGGTACCCACCACCACGCCTGGCTAATTTTTTTGTATTTTTAGTAGAGACGGGGGTTTCACCGTGTTAACCAGGATGGTCTCGATCTCCTGACCTTGTGATCCGCCCATCTCGGTCTCCCAAAGTGCAAAGTGCTGGGATTACAGACGTGAGCCACCACACCTGGCCAATAATTCATATTATTAACAGCTACTGAGTAATCTTTTCTTTTCCAATTGTACTATAATAGCTACAGGATACTCCTTAAATATGTTTTTGAAACTTCTCTCTGCACTTAGCCCTTTTTAAAATATCAACCAAAATCTATTTGATTGATATAAAATATTTTTGGTTGATATTAAAAAAAGGTCTAAGTGAAGAGAGAAGACATTGGTCTATTATATCAATGACCAAAAGAATTATATAACAAAAAATTAATACACTTTTAATAAATTATGATACAAGCAATTTATAAAGATAATGGTTGAAAAAGCAGTTTATGCACAAAAAGAAATAATTTTCCTTAAAAGCTATTTCTTGTGAAAATAAATGGAAAATAATCATCTAAATGCATTCGGTATACATTAAAAAGGAAGCTTTCATTCAAAGATTGAGTCAGAAGAAATGTAAAGGCATAGAAAATGAAAATACTACCACTTAGCTCCTAAAAAATACTAACAGCAGAAATGAAAACAAGAAAATATCAAAAGTAAAAAGAAAAAAATGTAGGCAACTAAACAAATAAATTTATAACAAAATGTGATCAATAAACAAGAAAGATACTCTAAGACAAAATTAAACATTTTTCACAGATAATAACAATCTGGCTTTCACGATGGTTTTTTTAAAAAAGTTAGTCACTGAAATCTTATCACTCCTATCTGCTCAATGAAGCTTAAAGGGTGATAAAATTAAACAGTGAAATCTATAGTAACTAATATTAAAGATGGGATATTTTATTAATTTCACTCAGTACCCAACACACTGATAGTTTAAATCATTGAAGAAAATGTTCTCACTTCAATTTGCTCCTTTCTTCAAATCTGAAGTACTCAACAATTTTTAAATAAAAATGACGTTTAGTTTATAAAGATGAATATGTACTTAAATATGTCAAAATTCAAGCAAAGTGATATTTTTAACTTTCGTTCCTGTACTGTAAACTTGAAATCAATCCCTATTTTAAAAATGTGATGTAACCAGAATCAATCACTAATTTTGTGTTTCAAACTCATTTTTATGTTTTTACTGATGTTGAACAATTGAAATATGAATATGCTCTACTGTAGCATAGATTATTGGTTTCCAGTCTTTTAAAGAATGTGACCCTTATAACTATGAGCAATTTTTTAAGACTCCCCCATGTGAGATATGTATACTCTGTATAGTACTATGAATTATATAATGCTTTAAAAATATACACGTCTCAAAAAGATTAGCATGTAAACTAGACAAACACACTTATAGAAACAGCAGCTGATTTCCCCATGCATTTAAGGAATCCTTCCAATAACTGGATGACCTTTTAGAGCTATAAGGATCACTTGAGTGGGAACCACTAATTCAGAAGTCAGTTTAGAGAAGATATAACCCCTTCACATTTGTTTAGTGCTTCATAGTTTACAACTGAGTTTAACACCACGTTGAAAGATAGAGCGGGAAGGTATAAGTATTCTCATTTTACAAATACGAAGATCAAAATCTAGAGAGAATAAGGAGACGGGTCAAGGTTATGCAGCATAGTAGCAACTCCTATTAGATAGCAGGTCTTCTTATTACTAACTCAATGTTTTTATCTCTTACAACTTACTTACCCAGTGAAGGAAGAATAGTCTAATAATTTCTGTAAAATCAGCCTAACATACTCTAACCAACAAATGTATTTTGACTTGCACCTTTTTGGATACTCTTAAAAACTTGGCTATAATTCTACACAATAATAATTAGGGTATTAAAACAGAAAGAATGAGAAAATGAGCTAAGATATGCTAAAGAGATAAACCCAGCTTAGCAAAGGGTCATGAATTACAAAGACAACAAATTTCCAAATATTGTAAAACCTTCAAGTTCTATTTTTCTTAAGTATCACTTTGTACTTGTCATTTCTAAACACATTAATCTAATAAGCCCAATTGTCTTATGAATTTCTTAAGGACCTTAACAAGATCAGGTAAGTGTTTTAAAATACAGTAATACAGGCTGGGCGCGGTGGCTCATGCCTGTAATCTCAGCACTTTGGGAGGCCGAGACAGGCGGATCACGAGGTCAGGAAATCGAGACCATCCTGGCTAACATGGTGAAACCCCATCTCTACTAAAAATACGAAAAATTAGTTGGGCGCGGTGGCGGGCGCCTGTAGTCCCAGCTACACGGGAGGCTGAGGCAGGAGAATGGCGTGAACCCGAGAGGCAGAGCTTGCAGTGAGCCGAGATCAGGCCACTGCACTCCAGCCTGGGTGACAGAGCGAGACTCCATCTCAAAAAAAAAAAAAAAAAAAAAAAAAAAACTACAGTAATACAATTTTTTCATTAGTTAAGGAGTAAGTAGTCCACTTCTAGAGTATTAAGAAGGTGACACAAATTCTCTGGGAAATACTAATGGAAGAGTACTAAACAAAACTAAAAATAAAAAGTCAAAAATTGGAGATGAAATGTATGTTTTAAAACATAATATTTTGTATCTTAAAAGATTTCCATGATACTTTTTCAAGGTGCAATATTAAAATGATGTCTCTTTTTTTCTGTCTCATTCCAAAGAACCATAAAAAGCAAATTAAAACAGTGATGAAACAAAACACTTACAGGTTTGTATCTCAGTGCATCTCTGTAGGATCCAAACAAAGCAGCCTGTGCTCTAAGAAAGGCCCTAGCTACTCCATCACCCGTAGCTGTAGACTGCTTCTTCAGTTTATTTTTCAAGGCCGAGACCTGCACGACAGAGAGGAATAGTTAAATTAACACCTCAGAAATTGGTACAGCGAGGTAGGAACCCAATCAGCAGGCAAACCACAGTGTCTTTAGGTCAGCCAAAAATTCATCCTGCTCCCTGATAGCTTATCTTTTTAACTGCAGAGAGCACCTGCTGGTCTGTTAATTGAAACGAAAGCAGGAGAGGAGAGTAACGTGCTAATGCAAATTGGTTTATGCTCTCTTTTTTTCCCAAGGCCTCTTGACATAAATAAGCTTTAATTATTTTACAATAAACTGCTTGTGAGCCACATTTCTACAGATTTTTAGCAATTATAACATGTGTCTACTTGTTTTGAGATGAAGCAGGTTGGGTTTTGTTCGTTTTTGCTATGTAAGGTTATGTGTTACAGGTCCTCCAGGATCACTTACCATTTAATTTTATTTTTGGAAGTCTCATTTGCATATATAATTTTCCAGTCATTTGTTGAATAGTTTTTGTCATTATGAGATAAAGAAGAGGGGAGAGGAGATAAAGTTATTGAAATTATACCATGAGTGGAGAATTTTATGCAAATGTTATACACTGTCTCATTTAATATTCACAACAGTGTTCTAAGAAAAGCATTCATATTCCCATCTATGAATGAAGAAATAGAGGAACAAAGATGTGAATTCATTTGCCCTTACTATGTAGCTAATAAGTGGCAAAGCTGGGATCTAAACCTAGTTCTGTCCAGTTTTTTCCACTACCACATGGGTTTGAGTTCAATATCATTGTCTCATGAACTAGTAATCAGATTAAAACACTAAAGTTTCTAAATCAAAGAAAAATTTATCTAAAAATTTGCTTATTTTTAAAAGGTATTTAAGTTTGTTTTAATTTTTCATACATTTTTCTATCTTTTAATTTCAAGTGTTACATATTTTAGAAAATGCATATTTATGAACAGAATTTTAAGTGAGATCATACTCCTGATGAAAACTCTTATTATTTAAGGAGGAGGAGATATAAAATGTTCCTATGCATCCAATTCACTGTACCAGTTCGTTTCACACAAAATAGTAAACTATATTCTATACATTTAAAAATATTGGTTCTCATATATATTCATCAATGCTTAAAATGGAAGCATGTTGTGTAATAATTCTGTTTTATTTAGAAATAAAACTGGTAAGACAAATTTTGGAAAGAATGCTCACTTAACAGAGCATATTCTTACCCTTATGAAACTATCATATAACAAAATAGTGTCATTTTTCCTTTTATGTATATATGTGCATACATATATATGCAAACATATACACACATACATACACATGCACACATATACACAAAAACACATGCACACATATATACACATACACACATATATCTATGCAAGAAGGGTTATTTTTATTTCTTTATGCAAGTAGCCCTGACTTCACTTGTAGATGATTGTAATTGAACTGTCAACCTAATTAACAACTAAACTTTGAATAATGCTAATGAGAAATGAACACAGCATCAGAGGAAAGACCAGCTCTACAGGTGATAAACCTTCACAGTAGTGACATTTTCCAGTGTAAAGTCACAGTTACTGTGATCTGATCAAAGAAACAGACCCCCATTGGGTCCAATTATAACCACAGTTTTGAAAAAATTATTGAGTTATGTTCATAATCTATGCAGAAAGGCCTTTGCAGTGTAGGTCTTCTCCCCATAGCTGTGATCTTTTCAATTTATATCCAAGCTCCATAGATTCAGATAAAAGTTGAGAGCCTAATTCATTTAGCCCACAAAGTGCATAAACCAGGATTCATTTAAGAGAGGTTTTTATTATTAAAATCTAACCTCAATAAATGCATATTTTTAGGTAACCCACATATTCAAACAATAATAATTACAAAAATAAATCTAAATTAATATCCTTTATTCTGAAACTTCTATGCTATTTTTAAGTTTCAAATGCCTTCAATAACAATGGGAGTGAATATCAATATACATATTTAATTACTACATACACACCCCAAAAGATTATAATGTAAGGAATATGATTCCAGTCTTTTTAAAGTATTATTATACATAAGTAGTTGTTTTTTAAAAGATTTTTACTTTAGAAAATAAAAAAAATCAAAATGCCCCTTACATCTCTGCCAAAGAAAATTCCTTAATGTGTACTTTTTAAAAATAAAACATGAAATTCACAACTCAGTTCTCCATAAATCAAGAACACAATGTTCTCCAGACAATCACAACATGTATGCTCACTAAGAAAACAGTCAAGTCAAGCCATTCCTCAACCTTCATTATACCAAATCCTTGACCACATAATTGTTGCCTGAGTTATACAGGAGTATTAAACACACTGCCACAAGCCATTCCGAACCAAATTATAAAAATGCAGCCTTCACTTCCAAAACTGGTCAATGATGGCTCCTGAGCTCCCTGTGGACGTGTAGAAAATAGAAAAAAGAAAGCATTTGTTCTAGAACTATGCCGGCCAATAAGGTAGCTATCAGTCATACACGCACTTGATATTTGACTTATCTCAACTGAGATTTGCCATAAGAGTAAAACAGACACTATATTTAGAAGACTCAGTACAATAAAAAAAAACTCAAATTTTATATTGATTATATTTGGAAGCAATATTTATATATAGGGTTAAATAAAATATATCATTAAAATTAATTTCACCTATTTATTTTATTATTTAATGTGGCTACAAGAAAACACAATCATACATGTGGCTCACTTTTTTTTTTTTGGACAGTGTTATTCTACATGAGTATACTATCTAATTTCATACAGATTTTAAACTAAAATTGCCTGGCAAGAAATATAATTATATTTCTCCTTTGCCTCTTTCTACATTATTTCAACTTTTACAAATTACATAAAAAGAATTTTTCCTTGATCTACTCTACTGGACTTCAATTGCCAGTACATCTGAAGTTGTTCCTGTTTTTCAGAGACCAGAAGGGCAGCTAAGTGTTTCTACATGTGCAAATGAATGCTCAAAAAGAGTCTGTAAGAAAACAATTGTTTTTAAAAATCAGTTTTAGATATAAGGATATTAATATAATATAAAATGATTGCATCAAACTTGCTGTGTTTCTGGTCTTTACATCACTGGAGTAAATTATCACCAGTTACCAATGCCCTTTGCAGTGCTAATTAGCTTTTAGCAGTTTTTATCTATAAAAATGATGGTGTCTGTTCTGTACTTTTTAAATACCTGGTCTAGGAAAGAGCATTTTCTGCTTTAATTTCCAAACTTCTAAGTTTAGTTATGAAATAAATGTATCTCTTCCCATGAAATCCTAAGGCTTATACTCACCCATAACTCTGAATTCAGAAAAGCATTTGGAACCTTAGTCATATGGCTATTATCACATAATCCTATAAATATTGAAAAAATATCAATTGTTTTATCTTTTTATTCTTAAGAAAGTAAGCTAGCCTCAACCTCCAATGGCTAAGGATTACTTCACAAAGGACATTTTATCTTATGGTCTTTAGAGACTTTACACTCTGTAAATACATTTTTTTAAAAATCTAATTTAGTATTAGGATAGATCACAAATGAAAAGTTAAACAATGAAAAGAAAATTCAGAAATAAGCATCACTTCATTGCTCGTATCAAATGTTTTAAATTCCTTTCAGTGAGAATTCAGACCTCTAAGCAGTCATCCATGGGAAGAATTATAACCTGGATTTTAGCACAGTGGGAACTCACTGTAGCATGAATAATATTACCACCAATTTCCCACTTTTACCCTCTTAGCACTAAAGCGACTATGAATAAAAGGACAGAATTACATCAGTAAACACAGCAAACAGGTACACGTTAAAAGAGCATAAGCCATGTGCACACAGTCTAAGTAATGAAGTAATTATACCAAAGGAGAGTAAACCAGGGAGGCAGAGCATATAAGGGGGTTGAGTTTTTCCGAGAAGTGACAGGTTTCCTCTTCTACTTAACTTTTAGATGTGATTTCTAGATATGTTTTTGCAGTAAAAATATATTAACTGCTATACCTAGAAATTTTTATTTTACTTTTAATGATCACAAAGAGAAACATCAGGGTAAAGAAGAGAAGATAAAAATAACTGTTCTAAAATAATATTTACATAATCTACACAACCTAAAACACTCCTAAGATATTTTTAAATATTTCCTTTCATATAACTAAACTGTTCTCTAGAAACTACATATATTTATAAAAGTTAAAGTGTCAAAAAATCATCTGTAGAACAAAGATATAAAGTTGAAACCTTTTATTCTTCCATGAATCATGTTATAGTTATCACATGAATTAGATATTAAATCCCCACACTTCTTTAACCTTTCTAAAGTTCAGTTTATTAAGAAACAAAATTAACACTTCTCTCTTAATAATTTTCTAACAAATCTCTATTTGAAGATTAAAACAGTAACCTTTAACATTAAATGAAAAGCATATGATATACTCACAGAGCATATCATTACATTGTTTCATTGGTTTAAAGTACCTGTCAAATCCTAACTAATATGGCATCATCTACAAGTATTCAATTGGAAATTCAATGAATTTCCAATAAAATCCAAAGGTCTTTAACAAGAACTACACATATTTTATGATTTCCCCTGCCTATCTCTACTATCTCATTTTGCATAATGTTTTTGTTTATTTCACTACAGCTATATAGGTCTTGAATCAACCAACCTCTTCCCCACAGGAAAAACTTTAAATATGTTATCTCTCCTCCCCCTCTTCTTCCTCCTCCCACTTGGCTTACTCATACTCACCATCATTGAGGCCAATTCTCCATAAAGATGTTCCTGATACACTGAGCTTGGCTGGACCACAAAAGGCTGATCTGAGCGTGCGGACTAGTAAAAATGGCATCTCAGTTTGGCTAAAATTATTTTCATATCAGTTTACTTATAGCAGAGATGGCTTTAAGTCCACCAACATCTATTTTCTCTTTCTTTGCTAATTGAAATCTTAAGTTTGGGCTGGTGCATATTTAACAAAACTAGGTTAACTCAGC